GTCTAACAGACATCTTAGAAATTTCTGAAAGATGTTCTACTTGTTTTGGATGTCTTTAAGTTATCTCTAAGATGTACTTTAGGTCCGTATTAATAGTCATTACTTGAAACTTGTTTCAGGTAAGACACTCAGATTTTAATTTCAAGTCAGACCTGAGTTTCTCAGCTGAATCGCGATTGCAAATATAATGTCACATGTATTATATAATTCAAATAAAAAACTCTCATTTAACTCTAAATTCAGATTTGAGTATTTCACGTAGGATAAGTTTCAAGTAACGACTATTAATACGAGCCTTAGACATTTGTGCAGTCTGGTGTGTAATACGTAATATATAATTACTGCACTGTATAATACGTAATATATACTGCATACCTGTAAGTACATGACATATCACTACGGGTTCAACATTCTGCTCATTTTGCACAAGCACTCCGACACTTTCTCGCGCCGCTAACAGTCGTGTAGATACGATTCGATCAGAGAAACGCGTATGTTAATTAACGCGATGTTGACGAAACCCCGACGTGACATTTCAGAAGTCGAAATATTTCAATTGCACCACGAAAATTTTAACAGACGTCCCGATACATTACTCCGTGTTGAATGGTGATGACAGTTAGCGTCGCGGTATGCGGTACACACCCACTATCGTTAACGAAATATTTAAATTGCCTGAGGAGAACAATGAGAAATGAATTGTTACACGTGATTCGCACGTCGCGGTATGCTCGTCTCTCGTCGGCCCGGAATGTAATGATCCGACCACGTAAATAAATGCGCCGCGTAACAGTATCAAAATAACTGACGAAAAAGAAAGACACATCAACACTCACCTACCGTTGCCATCTGTTTAGTAAATGGACAAAATATTTCTGATATATTCTCAATGAGAATAATAATGATAACAAGACACGCACACTGACACACGTGCTCCGCGTCGCGGTGTATTTGTCACTCGTGTGTATTTTTTTTGTATGTAAGTTTTTGTATGTAAGCCGCACCAAGGCTTACGCGAGAGTATCAAAACAATGTACAAAAACGGCACAACATACGCCGCTATCCTTCCCCCTCTTCCACTCAACTGAGACATCACATAACTAACACTCTCGCGAAAATTCCAGTCCTTCGAATTGATTGAGACTGTGAGGACCTTTTCGTGATCGACTTTTACGTCTCAAACTCGCGAAGGACACGCCGGTATCGGTGCATTGAATTTTATTTCTGTCGAGTGATTAAAATATTTTGCTGATTCTTGAAGTATTTCATCGGGTTCTCGTCGGTATCGCGTGTGTTAGTGAGTGTCAGTGAATTCCTCAATGGAGCAGCCGGGAATGGGACGTTGAATCAAGAAGCTGAAATGAAGTACGTAGATTGCCGACGATATATCATGTATATCTCCAGGTATGTAAAATTTTTTATTATGCGGAATGTGACTTTTATGAATCTGACTTTTTAATAGATTTTTAATTCGATAAAATTATTGTGCATAAAGAGATACGAGTCGAAATTGAAAATATATTCTAATATCAATACTCATAATTCGTAATAACATCATAAATAATAAATTGATGAACCTCTAACTACTCGCCCGTTTTTCAATCTGTACTGTATCTGTACTTACTTCATAAAATAAGAAATATCAATGCATACAATCAAATAATGATCAATGAATAACGAATCTCTAATTATATTCTCAATCAAAGATCGTAAATACATTGAGAAAAAAATATTTAAAAATTTATTTGTGAGATATAAAGTTTATTTCTGTGAAATAAAGTTTATTTTCTTTTTCTGTCGCATAAATTATTTTGCCTCTACCCATAACAAATTTCGCGATGAATTCATAAATTCGAATCAGAAAACTTTTTTACCGATAGTCGGAAAATAAAATTTTTTATAATTTCTTGCAACTGTGTAGCGCACGAAACATTTATTAATGTTTGAACTTTCATCTTGTAAAAGTACTTTCAATTCGATACATTCAATTGGAAGAAAAGTAAAGATTGCAAAATTACAGTATATAATATATGACCCTTAAGGCGACATGGGACCTGACATGGACACAGGTTTGCAGTTTTCTCTTTTCTATCTTTTCTTCTAATTGAATGCATCAAATTGAAAGTGCTTTCACCAGGTGAAAGTTCAAACGTTAACGAATATATCTTATATCTCACAAATAAATTTTCCTTTGTTATTGTACCGAGTCTAAATCTCTAATGATGTTTACAAATATATCTTTGTGTGTTTATGATATAATTATCTCTTCTTTCTTCTCACCTCTTGAAATATCTTTCAAATTCTATTGAAATTTCCAACATCAATAACAAAATAATAATAACAAAATTATGAAGATATATAGATTATGGATTCATAACAGGAGCCATCTTTTATGCACGAGTACTAATATTTGTCTTGAATTTCTCTCTCTCTCGTGAAATTCACTTTCATACAACTCTCATTGTATCTTTAACGACCAAGCCGGGTTTCCAAACGTCGTCGCGCCTGACGTTCTTTCTGTGTTCGATTTGAATTCCAAGCTGTTCGCGTATACGCGACACGCCCACGCACGTGCACGAATTCTTTAACAATATATGCGCGACTGTCTTTTCTTACATACATCTGTGTATGTATAACAATGCAAAAAAGGCTTGTGCCGCGGACATGCGTGAATGTGTGCTGATGATTCATTCTGCAAATATTAAAAGTAGATAATCTCGTGAATATAAGAGACAGAGATAACAAAAGAGGCAGAAACAGAATTAGCACTATTAATCATCATATCAATTTATAATAATGACATTAGTTTAATTAATTGTCATTTTCAACTTCTCTTTCACATGTTCCTCATAGATGAAATATAAAATTTCCGTGTAATGTTATCTAAGGTTATAGCTGTCCGAGTCAACATTCTCAATACGTAATATCTAGTCCGACAATATTGTCAATTTTAAGGGACATTTTGTAGATATTCATCTGCTACAGATTTTATAAAAAAACACTTGCGCAACTCTGCGCCTACATCATTTTTTCCAAGTAGATAACTAGATCCCTTCTTGATGGAACCAAGCCATGCAACAAACGCACGCAAGCGCAATTTCTTAATTTTAATAATTAACTGAAGGTAAACGGAGTTCGCGGTGGGAACCTGAGCATCCTGCTAACTAAATTCGTTACGACCGCACGAGAATGTGCAACACACGTAGTCAGACAACGCGCTACCGTTTCCGTAACAATTTCGTATTCCGCAGATCGTCGTGCTCACTCGTGTGCATCGACCAGTCGGTAAATGATTCTGCTATTTCTACGATGCGCCAGCAAACTTGTATTTGGCACTTTTCGCCGTGCGAACTAACGACCGCCTTTCATATTCCGCAATGTTGCGGTGCACACGATTGATAAGAATGTCAAAATATTTCGTTACTTTCGCAAAAATTATCCACAAAACATGTCACTTTTGTGTAAAGTGACGTGCAAAGTGAGAGACAAACCGTAGCGAACAAGAAGTACAGCGAGCTCAATAAAGTCGTTGATTATACTGAAGGAAATAGTATCTGAAAATTCATTGGTAAGATGTAAAGTTTATTCGTAGAAATAAACTTTATATCCCACAAATAAATTTTCAAGTGTTTTTCCTCAGTATACGCGGGAATCGTAAAAGTGTTCAGAAAATCGAGCGACCTCGAAAAGTGGTAGAACAAACATGGAGACGACTCTTTGTGCGAGGCGGCGCGAGCGGAAGGAAGTAGTGAAAGAGAGTAGACATATTCGAAGAACTCGAAAGTCCTCGTCTTTCCCTTCTTCAAACACAGCCGAGCACGAAAGCGAAGTGGAGGAACGAAAGGAAGAGACGGGGGAATTATTAACGCATACGGCGTTCACCGGTGTGCATCCAAGTGTCCGCCGATGCACTAGCTTCCCTGCCACCGTACCCCTCACCTCCCTTTCTCCTACGATTCGTAACGACGGGACATAAGGCGTTACGTCGCGAATTCCTACGGACCTGGCCGTCTCGGCCGGCTGAGTACAAGAATTCGCTGGAGGAAGGAACGGAGCACGGTCGAGGGCAACGCGACTAATTAACACGATTACATAACAGCTGTCTTTTCTTCAGTTGTAATCCGATGGTCGGCATCCAGAACACGTGAATTTTTTAATCGCGATTGAAATCAACCGGCAAATAGCGCTCGCGTCTCGAATATCATTTCTTTCTCTATCTCTCTCAATCCCACTTTAAAAGATCTGTAGTTTGCGAGTACAGGACAAAATTCCGTTGTATAATCGCCATCTATAATTACGTGGCGCATAACAAACAATATTCCAAGACTTGTAGACTTGTTGTTTTTGATTTATAGATCTCCGTAAATAATTTACTCCATACATAATTTTCCGTCTCCCCAAGTTCTTTTTACGATTGAGATTCCGCGCTGTGAATCTCATGTTGCGAATTACAGGTCGCTCGGAACGAGCTTCGCGTGTAATCAGTACCTGGATCCATCCGAGTCAGGTTTTTAATTTATCACGCGTCCCCGAGGAGAACGAAGCGCTCATTGATGCTCCATCAATGCATTTGCAACGTAGTTTCAAAATCTCCCGCGGATGCGTGTGTCTGTCGTACCTGCAGGCTGGAAAAAGGGTTAAGTCGATCGCGATGAATATTGATATCGGCTCACCCGCGGGTAGACAGGTACCAATACACCTTGCTCTCGAGACTTCCCTCATTCCTCGACCTATCGTCGGAAGACACACGAGGTGCTGCCACCTGAGCAGGTTCATCCGCAGGTGAACACTGCAGGTTACAAACACAGCCGTGCAACATTCAAACATATACACAAACACACACACACACAATAACACCAGACAACCCACGAAAAGGAGCAAGTCCATGGAAAGAGGGTTGCCGGCCGTTCTTCCCCACCTATCATCCTGTCAACCTGGTAGAGGGGTTACGCAGGCGCAAAGACCTTCGAGTCTTTCACACCGAGAGCGAACGGCCGGGGCGGACTTCAGAGACTCCAAAGTCCGCGTCCGTCGTAGGGGAAGTGGATCGCGCGCTGGCAGTTGGTGTCTCGGCAGTTCGCGATTTCCCGCGTTCCCTTCGTCATTATCGTTTAAACGGTTCTCCGTGAATTTACGTTCCAACCTTCTCGCCTCTCAACCGTCGCTCTTTCTTACTTCCACCTTGTCTGTCGTCGCGGACCGATCGCGAGTGAGATCACGTGCACGATTTTGGGATTTCGACGAGACCGCGTACATTATAAGTGTAACGAGAGACCATTCGTGTCGAGATCGGTGTGCTATGGGGATCTAGGAACGCTCGTAAGGGTGAGTTTCGTGTCTGAAAGAATTTGCTCATCTCGACCCTCAAGAGCGCAAATGCTAAAGAGTTCAGTACAAAAATGTGTGATCAAATAAAAATGCGTTTCTTCTTGATAATGTTAGAAAGACGTTCCCACTGCTGTTGTATTTCGACATTCACAAACTGAGAAAAGGAAACGTATAAAATCTGTGAGATTCAAATAGACCCATCATTTTTTAAATGCTCTTTAGTGTCGAGAAAATTGTGCTGTGTTTCGGGCCGATAATGTCTGATGTGAAAGGTTTGATAAGATTTGATACTTAATGACTTAACGCAAATTCGATGACAACGTTGCTCTATAAGCATGCAAGTAGCCCCTATTTCTCTCTTTTCTGATAAAAAAAATTCAAAATAATTCAAGTCTAAATTTAAATTTCAAGAGAATATATATATATATATATATATATATATATATATATATATATATATATATAT